AAACCCAAGCATTCGATGATTAACGCGAAAAACCTAATAAGTAATAATTGTCCATATATGTATTTAAAAATTCGACATATATGCTTAAAAGTCAATTGGAAAGATGTACAATAAAAAAATCAAATACTAGGTAAAAGTAAATATTATTTTAGTTTCATAAAGGAATACCAATATTCAATCATACAAAGGGCTATTAATTATTTTACGCTTTTATGGAAAATATGGACAAAAACAGTGAAAGTTATTTATGATCAAAATATTGATTGGCGAAAAAACTCCATGTATGAACAAAGAAAATTAATTTAATTCAATTAACGACAGCCAAAACATTGCACCTTGTGACATATTGAATTCCAATGTCAGATTATTGTTACCGCATTTCTTGTCTAAATAAATAATTAAGAGTTTTTAACTCAAAACTTCCATATTAGGTTTTACATATCTGGATTTCCGCGTTGTGCTTCGTTAATTACCTTAATTAAATTTGTACAGATGTCTAAATGAAAAAGGCAATTTATAAGTAAATATGGCACGCGCCCGATTCTTAAAAAAATAAGTGACAATTTGAAACTGACATTTAAATGGTACTGACGTTTTGTGACATTTGTTTTGCTCTATGTAGAATTTGACAAAACTGTCACAGCCAATATTCAAAGATCATACTACTTGATAAATAGTGAGTCAGCAATTTATAATTGAACTAGACAGGACTTTATTTTCGTAATTTTTGCTAAATTTAGTTTGTAAAGTTAAAAAAATGGTGTTAGGAGACATTTATTGAAGGTACTTTTTTAATATTTTTTTTGCTTATTAATTATTTGTTCTTATAGATATTTTGCTAAATCGTTGATTTAATTAGACGCATACATTGGTCTGGGTATGTACTTACTACTATAATCATGTGTAATACAACATATCTATTGTCAATGTCAAAGTTTGAGATTTGCTAAACGATATCGTCGTTGGTAAGTCTGGGTACATTTAATTTTTTTACATGTAACAGAATACAAATGGAATATTGCAAACTTACCAAGCTAATTTAAAATCGTTATCTATCGTGATGTGGCAGTCTGGGGCTTGAGATGAAATGACTTCGACAGGCGTGACCCAGTAACTCCAAAGGAATTTGTATGAATATGGTCACATGATAAAGCGTGAGTAATGTCAATCCCATACAAATTTAGCGTAAGGGGGTCTCGCTTGTCAAAAAGTGATTTTGTCTCAATCCCCTGCGCTATACCATAAAGCACTCGAATCCTCCAAATTCAAAATAATATTCGCGATTATATAATTTTATTAAATTCTTTTACGTTCGATTTTAAATTGTAATTAATGAGACAGGAAGCTTTATTGATTTGTTTTATTTTGTCCTAATATGGTAACATTTAGTATATTAAAGACTTATCTTATTCTACAATGATTAAATTAATATACTTGAATCTAGCAACATCCAAGGTTTCTTTTCAGTTAAAAAAACTAATCATAAAACAAAAATACAGTTTATTAATGTTGTTCCTCCCTTTTACAAAGATATAATAATAAGTTCTTACATAAACGAGCTTTATTTAGATTTAGTTTCCGAAAAAAATTGAGTAAAATAGCAAATAGCTGTCAAAGAATGAGTATCCGAACAGCGAAAGCTACGGTGTATTTCTCGCATTATCCTAAGGGGTTAATCACAACTTTGGGGTCGGGATTCCAATCGTTATTTACAGAGTACCAGTGCAGTTTTTGTGCGTTTGATTGGAACTCGCGTTGCAGATATGGCAAAGAGAGTCGGAGGGACGCTCAAGACCGAACGCGATGGAGACTGTGTGTGTGAAGTGCAGACTTTTTAATCAGAGAACTGGCAAACCAAACCTAGGGTTCTAGTGCCAAAGTAGCTTACGCAAACGGAATAAAAAATAACTTTATGAATAGCACAGTTGTTTTAAGAAAGAATAATTTCCCATAGTGAGTAAAATTTTGCAATTTGCATATAATGAACCACTATTATTCTGAGAATAAAGTTCTATCACCATTTGAATTAGAAATAAACAATTAACAATAATGCTTAACAACATTATTAGTATTTTGTACAAAAAGTTTATAGTTCCCCTAACATTATTTCAGACGCTAGTCATAATACAATTCCGTCGACGAAGCTTAACAAATTATACCAGGTAAGCGCAGTCAGCGATAAAACAAGCAATCTTATTAGACGGTAACAAAACAATGCAAGTTAACGCAGCGCTGCAGCTGCTGTTTTTATGTCATTGTGACGTTTACGCGCGAAAAGTTTTACGATCCGCAGACGCATCAAAACCGGTAGTGTTGTGCCAAATTCCATTTGAATCGAAATATATCTATGGTTTCGAGATATTTCTAATACAATAAATATTGGAAATGAATTCCAGATGGTCATTGTAATATTTCAACATTATTATAAAGACAAAAACAAGTTGGTGGTAGGTACTAATATTATATTGAAATAATGAGAAGTCAAAAAAAAAATCTAATTAGGTCAATGGGTACCGACTTACATATATATATTAATTAGAAGGTAATACAAGAACTAGGACTGTTATTAAGGTATAACTAAATTTAATAATAATGTAATTTATAAGAAAAGGTTTACATTAAGTTTTATGTTATTATATTTAATATTGGTACACGACCTTCTACAAAGTGGTCTCCTCCAAATTCTTCCATTTGTCTGTCATTTTCGCAACTATTTTCCAATTCCCCGCTATCTCTTTTATTTATTTTCTTTTAACTTATAATATGTGTACCAGCTTAGGCAAACACAACACTACTATTAGGTTTACGAGCTTTTCGTATCCCAGTATTCGAGTTCTAATTTTAAAATAGGGCCTTGGTTATGGTAGGTCATTGAAAGGTGACAGAGTATGCAAAAGTTTTGGTATTAGATTTAACTCCATAGAACATAAACAATAATAAAACCGATAATTAAAAAAAATTTTAACTTAGTTTATGATCTACCAATTTTTATCAATAGTATTACCACTTTAATAACACCTATTTGCCTTTTACTACCTGCAAAACATGTATTTTTAATTAAAACCATTATAATTTGCAAAATTCGATAGTTTGCAAGTATAACACTAAAAATTCTCGAAGCATGTCTGCGTATAAAATACGACGTCATAAAAGTTTTTGTGGAGAAAAAGCTATAAATTCTCTATCCCTTTCTAGCGAGTGTTTACGACCGTGAAAATGCGAGATGACTATATATTTCATGAGTTTTATTACATTGAGTGATGTGCTACGTTATGCTCATTTGTTGAGATAATTACCTTTAGATGAATATTTAAAAGGTGCCGCGTACATTATGTACCTATGACGAAGTTTATACTATAAAGTAATGAGGGAAAAACGAAAAAAGGCATATCTTTAATACGTTCCGATTACAATTTTAATATTATATTTTAGTATCACATTCTAAGTTTACGATTTCAGCACTACATATATTTAAAAAAATTGTTAGCCGTCACGGGAAGCCTGGCAGTTGTGTAACATCGAAATTATTTTGTACAATATGCATAAAATAACAGATTACGACACGAACTATATTTATTTCATGCCATATTTGGCACAGTGAAAATATTACGAATTTTGCACAGAAGATGATGATTGTTTATTGATTTTATATTAAAAATTCGAACAAATTTATTTCAAATTGCGACAGTCTAAAACAGTAGCTACGCCTCACGGCATGCGTCGCCACGCCAATATGCGGCTATAGATGGTCCACATCAATAAAAAAAAAATTGAGGTATGTCATACTTCAGGATTTGTCGAACCGTCGCCACGCTACGGATGTCTTTCTTGTTGAAGAAGAAATTATAAACGCTTTAATTAATAAAAATATTTTCCAGATTAAAAATTTCTAGTTTTTTTATTAAGGATTGCAAGTGGCAGGTGCTTAGCGGACTATGCTTAGCTTAGATTCGGACAACGGAAAGTGTTCCGAAGAGCCGATGACAAAAACTTAAATACGGGATAAACTCAAAAAGATGTCCGATTAAAATATCCATAGATTACAAAGGGATTATTCTGATAAAGGATAAGGTAGGTAGGCAGGGCTATTTCTAAATAAACAAAGATCAAAATCTGACATATTGCATATTTAGACGCAGATCATACAAGTTTATTAGTAATAACTATCTTAAAGTGCAGGACAGATATTGTTTTATTATTATCACCAAGGGGACTTTACAACCTATGACTGCTTCAGAATTGATGACATCGTTAAGGTGACGCTTATGCGGAAAGTGTTTTGCTGAATGTTTGGCTAATAAAGATATTTTAGTTCGATACATTGTCTTTGGTTTAAGTTTCAGCTACTGTGAGCGGAACTTTAGGGGTATTTATTCTTAATCTATTCTACTTTCGATGACAATTGACAATTTGAATTCCTTGTCAATTGAGTGTTTGACGTTAACTGATCCTTGTAAGGAAGAGATTGTTTATTATCAATTAAGCCACCAAATGCAGTGATATTTTTTTTTAAATCGTAAATTTGTTTTGTTCCCTTTGGAGTAGAGACATTTGGGCCGTGGAGATTAAGTGCACGGGCGCTAATTAAAGATTTAAGATGGCGCCAGGTAGATAGTAGCGGTAGTAGATAGTACAAGCTGAACGAATAAGTATCGCAATACATAGAGGAAATACTGCCATTAAAGGAACACTTCCACAGGAACCAAACTTTTTAAAATTGTCTATTTATCCATTTTTATTTATTATTAATACTATGTAAGTTAAGACTATTCTAAATACTATACATTCGGGTGTATAGATAACAAATTTGTAAATTGTTTTAGTGTGCAATTTGATAAACAAAAAAAATCTTTTTAGGTTTTGCCTTTACTCCTTTACAATATTTGGGTACAACTAGAAAAAAAGCAGGAGGGTAACAAGGAGTATATGTCGAAGCAATGGCGTTAATGTCATCAATAAATAATTACTTAACATACCAGTTGCGGTGCCGTGTCGTTATGCTACAAGTGCGCAGGAGGCGGGGAATGCCTTGCAGTCAGCGGTAGCGGCAACCAGTGCGGCGCGTACTCCGGGGTGATCACGCACCGTGGTAGCCGGCACACGCTTGGCCGCTTGCGTGCTTGTAGCTCCAGCAGTGAACAAAGAGACCGTTCATACAGCTGCCACTGCCGGACCACCCAGTTTGCTGCAAAATGACAAATAAATTAATATTTTGAAATTATAGATATATTTCAACAATTGCCAAGCTTAATGAGAACTTCGCGATAAATTAACTTATTAATTCACTAGTAATATTACAGCTAACACTTAGACAATATACAAAGCCAAAACATAGATAAATAATAGATATATATGAAACAGAAAACATAAGTAAGTACATGAATACACAAACCCATAAAAAAATTTAAAGAAAACGACAATTAATACTTAATATTTCAAACAAAAGAAATTGGATTGTTACTTCTAAACCAAGTCAAAGTCTTCTCGCCTCTTCAAATATTTCCTCACATCCTCTTTGGTGAGGTGGACATTATCAACATCATCATAATTAGTGTCACAGATAAAACCCGAAACATTGGTTAAATGTGATTAAATGCTTAATAGATAGAAGATAGGTAGAAGACGCGTCTTAAGCGGGAAAGCGTAATATTGTATTTGTCTGTTATACGAGTACCTATAGTCTGTAATATATGAAACTAAAATTAATTTTCTACTAATTTTAATATTTATATAGAGATTTTACTGTAGTAGTTTTTTCATAATGTTATTAAAAACTACTGGAGCGAATCCAAAAGTTCTTCCTAAGTAACATAGACAATGTTTAAATAGAAAAGATTATATTAAGGGGGAACGCTGCCAGTATCTTCGGAACCTTGGCTAAAGGGACTTTAAATATAATAACTAAGGGATATTTTAGTTATTATGTTTTAAGGTTAGTTATAGTTTTTCTGTTATTTATTTATTTGTAGTTTTCACACTTCGATGCTATATCTACAGTATGTGTTACTATTTAAATAAAACTAATATTCTAATATTATTAAAAATACATGAGAACTTTTTAAATTCTCAATTTTTTGCAGTAGCTTCAATTAAGTGTCTTGCAACAGTGTACACACAAATTCCTATTGATTAAAAGAATTGAATCATGAGTATTTAATGCCCACAGGCGAAATGCAATCGATTTCGATGTTACCATTTAGGATCACCACTCACTTATTACATACATTGTAAGCCGGCTAATAATTATAACCCGCTTCGCACTCGTGACTCTTCAAAAATCTTTGTATTCCACTGAATTTAGATAAAATAAATAAACCTGCGATACAGAAGCTGTCTTTTCAAAACAATACTAGAGTTGAAGTTCAGGGATTGTGCTACTCCCAATAAATATACTGATATTTTGTCCACATAGTATCCCTAACTTTCGTACTAACTGATCTGAAAATATCGTGATTCAAGTGCACATTTTCTTTTTCATGTCATTGTTTATTATTGTCCCATTCACTGTTAACATATGTTTCAATTGCTTTGCTTTGTTCCACATAACAAAATAGACTGTTCTCTCAGATAAATGTCCCCAAATCAAAACATACAAAATCGTCGAGTTTCAATTTCGTTGCCTTGTGTACGCAGTACCTAACAGATAATAAATCTTACATTGTATGTTATTCCCGTGAATCTATTTGTATTTTCTCCTCATAACTCAGATGTACAATCAGAAACGGTTGCACGTATTATACTAAACACCCCTAATCATGCCTCAGGGCTAATAAGGAGGCTATAACTCAAAATCGTGCGTTTGTAATGAAAGGGCATCGTTTGAATTTGATTCATATGCGAATTAGGTGTCAATTTATGAGATTTCTGGTTAATTAAATCGATTTTTAACAAGTATCTGAGGGATCGTTCGATTTTTAAAAGTAGCTGCTTTTAGTCACGCACTTTATTTTTAGACTTTTGAACTTAAATCGCGGGAAGAAGTTAGACTGTATTTATGGGAAATTATAAATTGTATATTAATATATATGCAAAAACACAGCTAACTAACATATCAGACTGCCTTCTAAGATACCGCTCAGGTTATAAACTAGTTTTTTGTCTAGCGGCAAGGGTAATTCTTCTTTCTAGATATAAGTGAAAACTGCAGTAAAATTTTGAACTGGCAGAGAGACGCGGCGGAGGACTTGTTTTGATATAATTTAATATTAGATGGTGTCAATGACTTTTTATGCATTACCTTTGTATGCATTATCACACTCTACAGTCATTCTCTGGAACTCAATCTCTCATCGTCATGACAGCGTTTGTAAGAAACATTTTTAACGGTACAAAATATCAATAATAAATAAACCAAACGAATATTTTTTTCTGCTCTTGATATTATTAGACAGGTGTTGTTAACCTTTATTACAATTACTGACTTCCCGCAGTTTGAATTGAACAGGTGTATGGATTATTATTTCGAGTATTCTCAATTTAAAGTTAAAATATGATCGTTAAAACGTCAGAGAACCGGCATGCCTTAGACCCTTATAAATCTACAATGTTCGACCAGTGTAGACATTAGGCGAACATCCTGATTATGAAAAACAAAAATAAATAGAATTAAATTGAAGCTAGAGGGGTGCCAACTACGAGCACTATCTATCACTAAAATTTTATTATATTGACCAATAGAAATAACCCCTTCTTATCTATATATTGGATAGGTGACAATAATTGACTCAGGGGTCATTTTATGCTGGTATACAATTAGGGCATGGTAGGTACATAATATAGACATTTCAAATGTAGGTACGTCTATACAATAAAACTTTTCATAGTTATTAAACAAATGTTTATTATGAAATTATTATATTGTGAAAAAAGTCTTGATTAGTCAACAGTTCGCGCGTCTTGCTTCTAATCCATTGGTAAACTGCCGTAATTAGACACTAGTATTGAATCGCGCGCTCTTTAGTAAAATTATTAAATCGAATTATTAATCATCGTTAATGGACGGAAAAAACACGTTTTACATATGATAATTCAGTATTTGCGTATGTATATAAATACAGACATTCTTCACATATTTCTAACGTAACGGCAGTATGTAACTGTCTTCCTCGTTTGCTGATAATCATTATTTATACGGAAATAGCTGCATTGATTGTGCGCGCTCTATCGCCTGTGATCGCTTTGAGTATATTTTTATAAATACTATAAAATGTCTATTATATTCATGTATTACAGTTATTAAATACCTCCTACACCTGCTTACTTCCCTTTGACTCCTAGTTCGTCATCATGAGATCAAATTGTTGTGGTCTCTGGCAGAATGACCAGCGCTGTGGAACACGTCTGCTCCACAGCATAATGCTGAGCCAGGGCCAGTTAAAACACACACACATTACACACTTAAAATTTATCTTATTCTTTTTTTTCTTTCCATATTTTTTATATTTTTATTATTATTATTATCTTGTGTGTTTCTGCGTGTGTGTTTCGTTAATGATAAATGTTATGTTTATGTTAAATTGCCTTAAAATTGTTGCATCCAATCGAAACTAAACTCTAATTATGCCCTAAATACTATTAAAACCACATTCATGGCTGAAAGTCTACTAATTGTTTTTGCGAATTTTGCGAATAAGGACTGTGGAAAGGTTCCCGTTGAAGGTCTTCGATGGGAGATACGACTAATTTGGAAGAAAACTTGACCCCCCTCAAAGACCAGTACAAATGGGTGTTCATCATTTCATTTCATTTCATCATCATCATTCTTCGTTTGACCTTGTATAGGAGAATGCAAAGTATTTATGATTAATTAGTAAAAGTATAAAAACCTATAAAACCTAGGCTGATTCGAATTATTTGACACTTCTTTCATTCAAATCAGTCTGAGATGTTTAATGTTTTTGAATTTTCTTAAGTTATTTTGAATCGATTTTAATATTACATTAAAAATAAATCAGTGGCGCTACAACCTTTTTAGGCCTGGGCTTCAGATTTCTTCTTGTTTCTTGTTGTTGTTGATCATTAGTCAATCTATTAGGCAAATAGGTGATCAGCCTCCTGTGCATGACACACGCCGTCGACTTTTTAGGGTCTAAGGCAAGCCGGTTTCCTCACGGTGTTTTCACACACTTCGTTGGACACAATTCCAACTGATGTTAAGTGAGATGCAGCCCATTGAAGGGCATGGCCAGGTAGTAAACCTACTTTTGGTTAAAGGCTTTGCAAGGTGTGAACCTTGTCTCCTTAAACACAAGTAATTTGTGTTAAAATATTAAGAAATAAATTAATTATTTACTCGAAATATTTTATTATACATTAAGATTGTAGATAATGGTAAGAAGCCGGGACGCAATCAGTGCAGTTGTAATGAATGCAATACAAATCACCAAACCTGTTTTCTTTGTAAGAAGGCTTTTTAAAAAGCGGTTATATTTAAAGACAAAAAAAGGACATTTAAACTTGAATGTACTTTAATGAATTATAACTAGTCAACTCAAAAGTGATCTATATAGAGAAAACTAAACAGAAAATACTGTTATTTAGTTTAGTGACTTTTTTTTTAAATCCAAATAAAGAACGCGGCAATAAACATTTTAAATACGATTTCTCCAGGGTTTTTTTACGGGCAGCAGGCCCAGGTAAAGTGAAGCCCATGGACACTCTCAATGCCACAAAGCTGTGCGTGCGTTGTCGTCCTTTTAGGAATTGATACGCTCTTATCTTTCTACCCTAACGCCCGAACCCAATAACCTATCTCAATCCAGATTCCACAAATGAGATAGTAATCTTAATCCAAATCTTGTAAAAAGCGTGCCAATAACCAATCGACGGATTGTAATAGGCATCTGTCGATACAAGCTATCCATGGGAGGTCGTATCGGTGTCTGTGGATAGACCTTTGTATGAAAACGACAGTTGACGAAAGCTCGATTTCAACAGTTAATTATTTTAACAGATTTTAACTTACACCAGTTTTTAAATAATTAAAAAAACTGTTTGATATGTTTTAAACATACACATGTATATTTTATTGTTATTTGTACGGTTTTATTTACTTTATTTGGTTTACATTGATTATCAAATATGAGTGAAAACTCGGTAAAATGGAACGACAAAGAGCATTTTATCAGTCGCCAAAAATGGATTGTCTCCGTAGCGTTTGGTTATTGGGATGCAGATAGGAGATAGGAGATCGATCGACTGTCACGGTCTGATCGCAAATTGTCTCAATCTGAGATTGTGGATTGATTATTGGGTTCGGGCGTAAGTCAATAAAGCTTTTTATAAAATTGACGATTATTTAAATTTAGGATAATTTATCTAGGATATTTATATCCTTGGGATTGATTTGCTCCAGTTCAAATATTTACGGCTGCTCTGCCTTACAAACAATTTGTATGACTAGAAACTTGGCGATTAAAAAGAGTGGCGGAGAGTTTCTTGCCAGTTCTTCGTGCCCGCTCTACGCCCTTGATTTGCGAACCGGTAGTAAATGTAAATTTAGAATCAATTTAACATCTTTTCTGTTGACGTTCATAAGTGTACTTGGTTACCTATATGAAGAAAGTTATTAAAAAGAGAAGTGTTTCGAATGAACGCATTAACAAATTTATAACAACGTAAAACAACACAAAAAGCCACAGCGGGTTTCAAACCATGATTTAGATTATAGTAGCTGGTGTCCTCAACTTCGTCTGCGCAGGATTAAAATAATATTTGTCCAAATGATGTAGTGTAAAAGACATATTTTATCTACTATAAATACCAGAAGCGATAAAAGTATCTATTTTCATTTAAATGAATTATCAATTTTTATTGTAGTTATGGTTCACTATTTGGCTATAATGGCTTACACATAAGATATAGATATACATTGAGGCGGTATTTTTTGTACGTATGTATAACTCTAGCGGTTTTCGCAGCGCACGCCAGAATTGCTCGCAGATGGTAGATTTTTACCTACTCACTTTATATTTTGGACAATTCACACAATGTCTTCAAAAATTGTAGCCTATATGTTACTCTGATGTATAAGCTATATTATTGTAAAGTTTCATTAAAATCCATTCAGTAGTTTTTACGTGAAAGAGTAACAAAAATCCATAGGAGTATTATGTAAAGTAATAAACCACCGACTCAATGCAATTACTTTGTACAATACAAAATTAATACCATCTATTAAAAGACGCTAATACAAGAAAATATTAATCAGTCCAACCCTTATTTGTAATAAACGATCATTATGCCTAAGGAAATATAGAATTCTACAAAAAAGTAGTCAAGTAGGTATGTTTCAAGTTTAAAGTACATAAAAATGCCACATTAAAGAATAAAAGTACTCACTAAGTCTCATACTCAATGGATTGTTTATTAAAATGTAACAACAAAGATTTTGTTTGTAAGCCTTATCGTAATTATTCAGTAAAAGAATCGTTGTTTGATAAGCGATAAATAATTCTTTATTGCTTTTTATATAACTGTAAATGGTTCAAGGTTCACTTTTGTTTATTGTTAACAACAAAAACATAGTAATCAAGATTTATCTTTGGCTGTGAGGACACAATCTAGCCCCGTATAATGGAAAAGAAAAGAACTAGACTGTGTGTAGAGGCGCTCTTAACTCTGAATATTGAGTTTTTGTGCAGCGCAACATCAGCACTACTTATATTAAGAGAATGCATACAAAAACATCGGAATTATTACCGCTACTGGCAGCTATATTTCCAGTACACAGATTTTATAGACTCACCGTACTAAATTTTGCGTCCAATTTAATGGTGATCTCAATGACGAATTGTAAATTAAAATGCCACGTGTTTTTATTATCAAAGAAATAAATTTAAAAAAAAAATTATTATTTGTATATATCTTCGACACTTTTAATATTTTAATGACAATTAAATTCATTAAATTCCTTACATATCTTCCTTTTTCCCTCCCTCTAAGTCTCGGAAATCTAAAGTTTGCATAAATATGAACAAGAGTTAAAAATTAGTTTGCCAAAGAAGTTTCACTTCTGACATGTGTACTTTGTACGCACTTTTTTTCTTCACAAATTGTTGTTTAATTGTAAGTTTATATTAAAACTATTTTGCGATTTGATATTATCCTAGTAAGTACTTTGATGTAGTTTTCCACAGTTTTATGTGTCAACTGTCAACTAATACCTATTGGAATTGGCTCATAGCAAGGAACGCATTGGTTAGAAGTCGTACTAGTGTAATATCCTGTTGCAATGTCATAGACAAGAAATTAGTCACCCGTATTTATC